TTCGCCACCTCAATGTTGTCAAGATTGAAGAAGTTAGAAATATGTGGATCAAAATGAGGTTGAAGCCCAACAATGAAATTTGGCTTCCAATGAGTTGAATAATTGGTGATACCACAAGAGATACAAGAGAATTTGCAATCCTTCATGGTCATCACGTGCTCTACTAATTCTCATAGAATATTTTTGTTTTCCATACCCTTTCTTTCTTTAAACCTTAACCCATAACCCCATTACAACCGTATTTTAAGACCTCTTGATCCTAGAAATTGTGTGAATTTAATTTGTGGAGATATGATACGAAGAGCAAGCTTATAGGATTTGATTTTGTTTTCATGCATTCATTTTTCTTGAGTGAAACACTTAACCCAAACTTTGAGCGTTTTCTTTGTGAGTGACATTATTGGTGAGATTTGGAGTTGAAGTTTTGATTTGCATATACCTATCCGGGTTGCGTGAGTTGTATTGATATTGGCTATTTCACACACTACACTTGAGAATGTTATGTACGGTTTTGTAAACTTTTGAATCATGCTTGCGCTTTATATGATGGTTATTTGATTCTTTGGAGTTATATACCTTGCACAATTTATTGAGACTAATATGTGGAGGGCTAACATTCTTTTGAGTCCTTGTTTTGTTTTGTTTTGCTTGAGGGCAAGCGAAGTCTAAGTTTGGGGTTATTTGATATAACCATTATTTCGTACATTTTTATTATCTTTCTCTTAGATTCTTGCTATGTTCTTGAGTGAATTTAGTCCATTTTTACTTAGTTTTGTGTTTTACTAGGTTTGAAGAGTAAAGACGGAAAAGCAAGCAAAAGGAGCAATTTTGGGATTGAAATATAATGTGAAATCCTAGGAGCAGAACTTCCTGTGCAGATCAGTCAACTTGACAGAATATACTGTACTTCCTCAGAGTGAACCAGATGTTGACCCTTATATCGTTGGAAAGATACGGATGTTAGCTTTCTGTAGAATTTTATGGTTCGTGATTCGGATGCTTGTGGAGAGAGTTGTGGCCATTTTAGTACAGACAGTTCAGGCAGAATGTGTTCTGCGGGTTTTGCAAAATAATCCTTTTGAAGTTCAATCCTTGGAGTTTAATTTGTATCAATTACATTTGGGAAGTGTCTACAAGGATGAAAGGTTATTTTCTAAGGTCTGATCCTATATTTAGTAGGATTTTGGATGCCAACTCATCAAAGACAATTGAAGCCAAATTAGGAAAGCATAGTTACCAAGTCAAGAGAGGATTTGTTCCTTGTTTAAAGAAGACCAGAAAATAGGGTTCTCTTATGCTGGAGTTTGAAGGAGAGTCAAATAGTCGCTGCTATCGTCAAGTTCTCGAGCATCGTCACAATCCATAAGTTTTATTTTGTGTTTTCTAGTTTTTCAATTATGTTTTCTTTGAACATGAGTAACTAAATTATTCTCTAGGGCGAGGATGACGCCCGAGCATGGATAGTTATGATTTTTAATGTTACTTTTAGATGAATGTTTAATCACTATTTTAATTGTTGCTATTTGTTTATGTTCTTTGATTGATCACCTTAGGGATATGCATCTAGTAAATTAGAAGATGAATTTGAGGCAGAACTCGCAATATAATTCAATTAGCTTCTTGTGATTAAGTGTGGTGAATTACATTAATGCTTGACAAAGAATAATGGTTTGCTTGCTTCTCTCGTTTTCTAGAGCGTAATGAATCCAACTTGTTAAATTTATGCCTTAACCAGGATAGATTGCAGGATTGGGTATATGATCTTTGTCTGAATTAAAAAAGAATCTTACACTTAAGGAAAACTATGGTTTGAGTGCCTGAAAAGGACTTAGATACGGGAATTATCATCTAAAGAATCGAAAAAATCTGTTGAACGCATTGAAATCTAACTTGGATTGCTTGTGGTTGATTCTGAAACCCTAGACCTTCATCATTGTTTTTCAACCTTAAAATTCAACCTTCTTATTCTCAATTGTTTTTATTAATTTCTTGTTTGTTTCATAAACTTCCACAACAACAATCTCTACAAATTTACTTGCATATAGTTAGATTTAATTTAGATATTCGAATATTAGATTAATTTGGAATCCTCGTGGGAATTATACTTGGACTTGTCAAAAGCTATACTACATCATTCTTGTGCACTTGCAAGGACAAACCAGGTCACCCATCCTGGGATTGTTCTAGCCCAAACTCGCTTAACTTCGGAGTTCCCATGACTCTGAAGCCAGTGAGCTCCCAAAAGACCTTGTGCTAGACGGAGGTGGGCATGTACATATAAGGCACATCACCCCCTCTCCGTTGATATATGTGAGATGTTACCAACCCCCCCCCCCCCCCCCCCCCGACGTCCTCGTTGGCACACTCGCACCACACGGCAAAGTAGCTCTGATACCAAATTGTCACATCCCGGATCGTCTCTGCTGTAGCACGATATTGTCCTCTCCTCCTCCCCCCCCCCCCCCCCCCCCCCCCTCTCTCATGCCCTCACAGTTTTGTTTCTGGGAACTCACAAGTAACTTCCCAGTGAGTCACCCATCCTGGAATTGCTCTAACCCAAACTCACTTAACTTCGGAGTTCCCATGACACCGAAGCCAGTAAGCTCCCAAAAAGCCTTGTGCTAGATGGAGGTGCCATGTACATATAAGGCACATCACCCCCTCTCCGTTGGTCGATGTGGGATGTTACAAGAGCACTTAGGTATAAAACCAATACCCTCTGCAAACCTGGGCTCTGATACCACTTCTTGTGCGAAAACACTCAAAGACCTTGTCGTTGATGGACTATGCGACGGCACACACACAAACCCCTTTGAGAATAAAACACACGCATCTCGAATAGAGAAAAAAAAACACATAAGGACAAAATGATTTATAGAGGTTCGGCCTCCTGTCTACGTCCTCTTGGTGATCTACCCAAGAAATTCACAAGTATGTAAGAACAACCTTGGTTACAACTTGAACCCCTTAGCTCTCACAAATACCCTTGCTCTCTTTTCTCTCACCCTACCCTTTGAAGCCCCCAAAAACACTCAAAAATTCACTCTTGAATTCTGTCTTGTATCTCTCTTGAAAATTTACTCTTGAATTTTCCTCTCTTACTTTTAATCTAGCCCTAAAAGTCCTATTTATAACTCATAGGACTTGGGTTACAAGTTAACTAGGAATATGAAACTAAAACTCCCCAAAAAAAAACTAGGAAAAACTATCCTAAAACGTCAAGGATCCGCACTGGATTCGCGACGTCTGCTCAAGCACGTGCACTTCTGCACGAGCGCCTGGGACTAGGCAAAAAAACATATCTCTGCCACTCGAGCAAAGAACTGTTTTTGAAACTCCTTTTTCTGTCGTTTCTTCTTCCTCCTTTAGCATCTATGGTGAGCCAACTTCAACACCATTCAAAGGAACAAAATAAGATTGGTTAAAAAAAACACAAAGGGTACTCAAAACAACGCCGAATTGAACAATACGACATTTGCTCTTGTGGGTCGACTTCATACTATAACGGCACTTATGGGCTCAAATTGTTTGGTAATTATACCAAATAGATGTGAAATCAGCTTTATTCCTTGGACTCATGAAGTTGTGCAAATTGAAGAAAGACTTAAAGCAAACATTGAGAGCATGGTATGCAGAGATTGATGCTAGATTTCAAAGAAAGCAAAACTGAACTTCTTTTGTATATCAAGATTCAAGCTAACACTAAAAATCCTTATTGTTTCTGTTTATGTTAATGAGATAGCGTTTCCAATTAGTTTTGATTATGGAGTTCAAAAGAGATAAGATGGAAAAAAATATGAAATGAGTGATTTGGGTCTATTGTATATTCGCTTGGAATTGGAATATGTGGAGAGAATGATGCAACAATGATGGAAGAAAATATTTGATGCTCAAATATTGTATACTTAACCACTACAAGGCCGAAACAAGGCAGGATATCATGTAAGCCAGTAGCTTGCTTAAGCTCAGTCGTATTTATTATGGGATATGGTTAAGAGTGTCGTAAGATACGTTCAAGGAAAAATTGATGATGGCACAAGGTATGAGAAATGCTGAGGCAAAAGTTACTTGGTTTGGTTTTTGTGATAGTAATTGGGGGTGATTGTGTTGATGATATAAAGAGCACCTCGAGATATACCTTTACTCTTGTCTCGGGTGTGTTTTTCATTGCCTTGAAAGAACAAAGAAAAGTCGGTGTGTGTGTGCTGTGTAACATGATACGAAATTGAAACTGAAAAGGAGATGAACCAGTTGACACTGAGAGCAATGTTTTTCACTTCTTCTCACTTCATTTCTATTTCTTTTGACGTACTATTGTGCAGCCGTGAGTGAGTGTTGAGAGTTCATTGGCTTAAGAAAATAACCAACAAGGGCTATTAGATCAGAGGTCAGTTCTTTACAATGCATTTCTTCCCATTTCCTTCCACTTGGAGAATACCTAACTGTTATCCTACATGTTTGTAATTATAATTCAAAGAAAGGAAAATGGGAAAAAACTCAAAGCAATTCCATAATTCCTCACCATCTGGGGCCTCACTTCTGCAGAAGAGAGTATGCGTTCCTTACTACTGTCTTAACATCCAAGTGGCCAAAGTCTTCTTATTGTTCCTTTTGTTGATTATAAATATTATCGGTGGGGCTAATATTGTTGCTTCTATTACGTTTCTACTCTTTTTTCCTTTTCGAAATTCCTTTTCAGGTGATTGACATAAAACTGATCACGGGAGAGAAAATGAAACCTTAAGCAATGTTGATCGTATGTTACGTAGATAATCCTTATCTGGATTGTATATGTCGAACCATAAGCAATGCACCGAATACAGGCAGGCAATCCACGGTTACAAACAAGAAGCAAATCAGGTGGAGATAACAATATAGAAGAACGGCGGCAGGAGTTTATTTATTCCCCTATTTGTCTTGTAAGGCGTAGCCTTTTCAGCATATGTCGCATTATTTGCTGCCCTAGAGAATATTGTTCTTAGGCACATTGAGCATCTACATTAGATACCATGTTTGTCCAGGAAGCTGGTGATTAGCTGATTAACTTGCTCTGGAAATTGTTCCTGCACAAAGTGAGTCCCTTCTGCAATGAAATTAATGTCCAAATCAGGCACAAAATGCTTCACTGCCCCAGTGCGCAAGTAGTCCTCGACCCCCGGAAACTTTAAGAAGTAGTCCTTCTCACCCATGATAAGCAGCGATGGAGCTGAGATTTTTGGATCAGTTAAGTGGTAATCCTCGGATGAACGTCTGGATCTGTGGAAAGAAACACTAATGAAATTATATGTTCAGAGACGTTATTTATGGTACTAGATTATATTGTTTTTGGATGTTTAATCTTAGGAGCCGCTCTACTTTCTGTCCCTGTCTCCTTAGAACTGTTTTGGAGAAAGAAACTCGTGTCCTGTGGAAACGAATGCAAAAGTATCTCAGCTTTTACATACCTGTATGGAATTTGCAATGGAAAATGGAGTCCGGATTTCTCATATAAAGATGCATAGGCGACAAGATCTTCCTCAGAGAACCATGGTGGTAGAGGAGTTGCAGGGTCAACTAAGTCCATGATTTCTTGATCATCAGCGGCCACTTGGAGCTCACTTCCGGAGAAGAGAATGTAGATGTTCCGTATCACCGTCTTCACATCAAAGCGGCCAAAATCTGCTTCTGCCCGCCCTGGCTCCTAGAATTAGGTAAGAGTAGGAATGTCAGTACATAGGTGAACCTTGTAATGCGACAAATACAGATCGATGCGGTGAAACATTTTGACAACAAAATCAAGATGTTGATGGGAAAATGCATGTACCTTCAACCTTGGCATGTAGAATCCTTTTGGGAGGAGATGAAATTGGACAGGAGAGGCATCTGGTTGCATGAAAGGAACACCTACTGTTATCATGCCCGATACCCGCTGTGGGTGGAGAGAAGGTATTACGTATGCAGGGAAAGCTCCAAAATCCTTCCCAACAAGGACAGCCTGGTTTCAACAATTACAGGTTAAAATTTTTTAGGCAATATGAATTGTATAAGTTCAAATTCTTGTACAGAGTACTTCTAAAAGTTCGGGAATTCTTACCGGTTGATCGGCTAGGAAAAATTTTGTGACATTTTGCAGCCCAAATTGGTCGGCTGCCGGGTTTTGTGCTTGTTTTCGTAATTTTATTCCAATTTGGACATAATTAGATTACATTATGGTGCAGAATAGCCATTTTAAAGAGAATGCAGAGCTTAGCTCTTTGCCCAAAACTTAGTATGGTAAAAACAACTCCTGCAAGAGACTTGTAACTCAGGTAGTTACGTGGTCCTAGGAAATCTCTACTGCCATGACACCATCTTATTTGTTTATATCTGTGTGGACTTTATTTGAGCCTCATTTATTTATGTAACATAGTTGGTAATGAAAAGTTTATGTAGTACTATTCTTAAAAATATCGACACAAATTATAACTACAAAAGCAATGATATCATAGATCTCCATTGCTTTTTCCTAACCAAAAAAAAAGGATCAAATATATAGGCCCTGCAGTCTAATTACTTCTGATGAATATTTACCTTGTCAATGCTCAAAGAATCCAAAAGGGCAACAACATCGTCAACAAGGTCTTTGAAGGTTGCCTTTTCTGGTTCAGCTGGCTGCTCAGAAAGTCCATAGCCCCTGAAATCAATGGCTATGGCACGGTGGCCTTTGTTTGCCACAGCAACCATTTGATGCCTCCATGAGTACCATATTTCAGGAAACCCATGTAAGAAAAGCACCACTTTTGGACCTGCAGAAGCAGAAGCAGAAGCAGAAACAGAAACTAGTGTAAGTCAAAACAGTGATGGATGTAAAAATATTAAAGAAAACAGTGAAATGGGGTAAGGTGGCTTTAGAAATTTGGATCTTGCCGCTGCCAATTTCAGCTACATGAAGCTTTACACCTCTCACTTGCACATGTCTATGCTGGATCTGTTCCATGAGAGCCAGAGAGATTCTTGAATGAGCTAGAGCACTCAAAGAAGAGACAATGAAACAAGAGGGAATGAATGAGAAAATGATTCGCCAAGCGTTTGCTTTAACTTTCAATGGTCATCTCTCATTGTTTTCTATTTTGGTTATATTCATGCTGTTTTTCAATTGGAGAAGGCAATTAAATGTGGTATTAAATGATATTGTTCCAATCAGTCAAATTTTATGTATGTCTATTTTACCCTCTTAATTGTGGCACATGAGTTATGAATTTTAGTACAAGCAAAGGGCAGAATTGGCACTGAAATGCAAACAATTTTGTGTGTATTGGTGTAGTCTACCTAGCAAAGGGGAATGTGATTGTTGGTATTTGTGACTGTTCATGTCTTCCTATTTGGTCAAGTAGATTATATGTATCTTAATTTTGTGCATTATATAGTGTCAAATTTTGTGTATCTGAGTAATGATTTTTTTTTTCAGTCATAAATGTTCAAAATTTAGGAGTAACAAATGCATGAAATAGTCAAATTCAGTCTTCTTCTTTTTCCACACTGGAAAGAACGTTACTTAATTAATAAATTAACAAATTCCATTTTCAAGAAGAAGTATATTGGGCTGAACAAGCTCTTATTAATTGGCTCAAATTAGGAGATTCTAATACTAAAATATTTTCATGTTGGTGTTACTGTTGGACGAAATAATAATCTTATTACTAAAATGTAATCAAATTTAGATATTTGGATTACTAATCATACGCAAATTGTTTCTGGTTTTGTCGACGAATATCAATCTCGTTTTCAGTATGAGTACTATCTTTCTATTTTTTAGTGTTATTAAAAAAAAATCGGAATTTTACACTACGACCCTATAAGGTAACAACAATCCTGGTTCTGCCTTTGCAAATGAATGAGACAAACAACATATTAAGAAAGAAAGAAAAAATCTCTTGAAATATTAATACGCAAATATAATTAACAAACAATCGATATACGAGTTGACATCTGTATATCCAAAGAGAAGAGTTAGAATCTAATACAAAGGGAGTTGTATACTGTTGATACCTAATACAGCCAGTGCCTGATGAAAAGAACCCAATAGCCAAGCCTCGTCACTTAGAGCACTTCCAGCAGTTGGAATCTTGCCATGGCAAGGGGGGGGCTAGGGCTGACACTATTCACGAAAATAGTGTCTGCCCTTGCAAAAAGTGAATTGCACTTCCAGCAGTTGCCATGGCAAGGGGGGGTACTATTCAATTTTTTTGTTTTTTTCACAAATTTGTTTACCTAAACAATTAATTTGGACCATATTTTCGGATGAGATTTTTTGATAAAATATTCGGACAAGATTTTCATATAAGATTTCCGATTTCAAATTTCAGATAAATTTTTTTTTTCAAACCCGATATAAATTTTTTTCAGATAAGATTTATATATTTAATGCTTTGGTTGTGGTTAATTTTTTTATGTATGGAATGTTTTGAATAAAAAGGAATTTTATTTAATAGTTTCTTTGATAGAGAAAAATTAAACTTGAAAGTGAAAAAAATTTAGAGTTGAAAGTGAAAAAATTATTGAGTAGAAAGTGAATAATTAAACTTGAAAGTGAAAAAATTTAGAGTTGAAAGTGAAAAATTATTGAGTAGAAAGTGAATAATTAAACTTGAAAGTGAAAAAAATTTAGAGTTGAAAGTGAAAAAATTATTGAGTAGAAAGTGAATTTGTTGTTAAAAGTAGGGGTGGGCACGGTACGGTATGGTACGGTATTGAACCCGTACCGCTACCGATACCGGAAATTTAATCGGTATGGTACGGTATGGGATTATGGTTTGCCAAAATTGGTACCGTACCGTACCGTGCCAAATCGGTATCGGTACGGTATCGGTACCATTTCGGTACCAAAATGATACAACTAAAAAATGAACCAATTCAATATTCAACACCAAAATAAATGATGCCTAAGTTACAAATTCAAAGATTCAACATATTCAATTTCAATATCCAAATCCTAATCAACATATTCAATATCCATCAACATATTCAATATTCAACAACAACACAGCACAAACCCTAAATAAATTAACAAAAAATTAACAAAAATCACAACAACACAGCACAATCCCTCAACTTCATTCGTATTTAATTAACCCTAAATAAATTAACAAAAATCACAACAAACTTACCATTTGTCCCTTCGTCGATTTGGGGATGCTTCTTATTCCAGAGAGTTGAGAGAGGGCTGAGAGCTTGAGAGAGATCAGGAAGATAGAGAAATTGAGAGATTAAGAGAGTGAGACAGAGACAGATCAAGAAATCCAAAGACTGACATTGTGACAGATCGAGTTCGAGAGAGTGAGAGACAGAGAGAGCTTGAATCGAGTGAGAGATCGAGATGAGATGGGAAGGATTTGGCTTGGAGAGAGCTTGAATCGAGTGAGATTGAGAGAGAGACAGGGAGCTGGGTCTGGGTATGGAGGAGAGCTTGCACGGGCTAACTTGAAAGTCTGAGAGTGAGAGCGTGCTGCGTTTCTATCTGAGAGGGTTTGGCTTTGAGTTTGCACGGGTTGACTTGAGAGTCTGAGAGTGAGAGCGTGCTCGTTTTTGTCTGAGAGGGTTTGGCTTTGGCGTTTCAGTTTGAGAGGCAAGCAAGAGACAGAGACAATGAGAGAATGAAAAAAAAAATTTAATTAAATTTAAGTACTATTCGGTACGGTACGGTATTGACCGGTATCAAAATCTTGATACCGCTACCATACCATACTCTATTCGGTACGGTACGGTACGGTATCGAATATCTATCGGTACCAAATGAAACGGTATAAAATCGGTATGGTACGGTGCGGTTAGGGTACGGTTTCGGTATTTCGGTTTAAGATGCCCACCCCTAGTTAAAAGTGAAGAGTATGGATTGGTATTTATAGAAAAAAAATTCAGTATTTTTTGGGGTTTTTTTAAAATTTTTTACGATTTTTTTTCATAATTTTTTGCCTTGAAAAATTCCAGGCCGTTGGATTGGATGAAAATTCGAAAATCGGAAGGACCAGATCGCGCCATGTGGCAGCAGAAAGAAAAAAAAATTGCGCCTGCTGACGTCACGTTGACGTCGGCCTGCCTTTGGGCTGCTGCTCGGGCAGCTCCTACCTTCGGGCCAGCCCAGGCAAGTGGACCCCCACACTGCCCGGGCCAGCACTTGTTGCTGGAAGGTGCTTTTGGGCTCTCCCCCGCCCCCAGCCCGAGCCCGAGTGGGCTGCTGGAAATGCCCTTAAGGAAGTGACTGGGCCCAAAAAGCCAGAACAAGACCCAAAAATCCCATTATTCTAGGAGGCCTAATGAATAATGGGGCTGACTAGGCCTGTCTCATTCATAAGGTTGGTCCTAGAAGGACAACGCGTGGAACACACCACCCTTAGCGCGCCCCTGTGCCCTGGCGCTTCACCCAAAAGCCCACGCTTTGCTCACTTAAAAGGACCAATTAGCCCATAAATATTCCACTAGCACATAATTCCCTCAAAATGAGACACATGTTTTCCTGTGACTGACCTGTTAAACCATATATACTAACCTTGAATATAAGCCATTGATCCTGCCAAGATAGATGAACTAGTTTGTCGCCAAGATCTTCTTCTCAAAACTAATTCCTTATGCCTGAATTCTAGATGGGGTTTGAATACTTTAGAGCTTGTTTTTTATCGGCTGAGAAGGGACTTGGTATTTATAAGCAAAAGCCCAAGTCTCCTTGCCCACTGTCAAGGGTTCGAAACCAATTGGGAGCACTTTATAGTCAAGAGCAAGCCGAATCCCGAGCAGGGATTAATCCCACCCTTCAAGTGTGGGGACACCTTACTAAAGAAAAAAAAAGCATGTGATGTTATGATTTTAGCATCTGCTATTGTTGCTGCAGAGAGTTTTTCTCGTGAGAGAGGGAGAAAGAAGGGAAAGAGGAGAGAGAAGGGTCAGGGGAGGGATAAGAAAGAAAAAAGGAAAAGGGGGATTTGTGCTGGGTTGTGGGCTCTTTTTTATTTTATATTTTATTTTGACATAAACGTTAACTAAGGTTAATAATGAAACAGGTGTCACTGTTTAAGGGTGGTGATGAGTATACACCTTTAGTTAAAGTGGTAAGCAAAAATGCTATCATTCAATAGATGCCAAAATATTTCAATTGATTGAACTATTTAACAACCATCCTCTTAGGATAATGGAGCACAACTTCTCATTTCACAATTAATTGTAGGCTATTTTAACAGATTAAGTTTGGGATCTGTATCATGGGTGGTTAATATTTTCTCCAATGAAAAGCATACGTCACGTAATTTATTATAGCAAAATAGTTAAGCACATCAAATTTGTGGGGTAAATATGTAATGCAACACCCAGCCAGTTAAACAGTACATTATAGTTTCTCTCATGGATTATTTATTGTTTCCCTTGCACATTGCTCATCTACATCAGATGCCATGTTTGTCAAGGAAGGAGATGATTAGCTGATTGACTTGCTCTGGACACTGTTCATGCACAAAATGATTTCCCTCTGCCATATATGTAATTTCCAGATCAGGCACGAAATGCTTCACTGCCCCAGTCCGTATGTAGTCTTCGATCCCCGGAAATTTTAAGACGTAGTCCTTCTCACCCACGATAAGCAGTGATGGAGCTGAGACTTTTGGATCAGTTAAACCGCAATCTACTGCTAAAGTTCTGAAACAATAAAGGACCTCTAGTGAAATGATATTTAGGCATATATTGCATTTTAGATAGAACTAGATTATATGCTTCCTCTAGCGAAACATTTTATTTCTTGTTACCTACCTGTAAGGAACTCGCAAAGGATAACGGAATCCAGATTTCTCATACAAAGATGCATAGACTGAGAGATCTTCCTCAGAAAACCATGGTGGTAGAGGAGTTGCAGGGTCAAACAAATCCATGATTTCTTGATCAGCAGCAGCTATTGGAATCTCACTTCTAGAGAACAGAATGTAGATGTTCCTTATCACCGTCTTAACATCAAAGCGGCCAAAATCTGCTTCTGCGCGCCCCACTGGCTCCTGGAGTTAGGTAAGAATTTAATTAGCAGTATTGTCGTAGTCAAACCTTGTAATGATTAGAACGGAGTTGGGAAAAAGCTTTTTCCTGAAACTGAAGATGTTGATTGCAAAACGAATGTACCTGCCACCTTGATATGTAGAAGCCTTCGGGGAGGAGATGGTTTTGGACAGCAGAGGGGCCTGGTAGCATGAAAGGAATACCTAGGGTTATGATGCCGGATACCCGCTCTGGGTGGAGAGCAGCTACTAGGTATGCAGGAAAAGCTCCAAAATCTTTCCCAACAAGAAAAGCCTGGTTCCAATAACCAAATATTGAATCTTTTTAGGGTATAAAATACAAGTAGCTTCAAGTTCATATACTAAATAATTATAGAGTAGTATTATAAACGAACCATGTGAGTTGTAAGATTTATGTATTTTGTATTGCCCTGAAATTTAATATACATAGCCTTATCATCAAGAGGAGCTGAGGATAATTTTTTGAGGTATCTTTCACACTTAGAGGAAGTAATGATATTACATTGTTTATATGAGTCGAGGTTTCTAACAATTGTAAACGATTTGCAATTGCAGACTGTCTTGATTCTCATGAATTTGTTCTATATAATTATGTGAAAAGTTTTTTCTAGAGTTCTTCAGAATGCAATAAATAAATAAACAAACCACTATATTTTTCTTGAAAAATAGGGTTGGAGAATGAGACTGGTAAGGGGGAGCTAGAAGAAACATTTCTGATTTAATAGGTCGGGTCAGAAATATTTGAAATTTATAGGCTTTTTTTTTGGGTGACAATCAACTGCAAGTTTGTAGGCATTTGATGTTGAATGTTTTGGAGAGAAATCTGTAAAAACCAACAAGGGTTGGTTGAGTTGGTAAGGATCGTTCTCTTTGTTATCTAGGTCTAGGTTCGAATCGCATTACCGACAATCCCTCTTAGAGCACTTCCACCACTGAGGGGGAGCCCTGGCAAAAGGGGGCCCAAGCAACCAAAGGTAGCTCCAGCGCAAGAGTTCTAGCCTGGGCAAACAGTGGGCCCCAGCAACCTGAGCAAGCCCATGGGCAAGTTCAATCCGAGCTGCTGCCTGGGCAAAATGACACAATGCTGAAGTCATAATGACGTCAGCAACCAAAAAAATATTGAAAAAATTACCAAAAAATTCAGAATTTTTTATAAATACTTAGTCATATTCTTTACTTCCCACACCAAAAACTCTATACAAATTCATCTCCTCATACCTCATGTGAATAGTAATTACCCTTGCCCTAACTCATATGGGTGGAAACAAAATTACAAGGGCTGCCACTATTCACGTGAATAGTGACAGCCCTTGCCTTGTGTATGGGCTTTTTAGTTCTAGCAGCTACTGATAGGCCTAGGCTGCTGTAAAGAGCCAAATGTATGAAATTGCCCCATGAGTCTGAGTTCAAGGATCAGACCCCAAGAGTGCTTCAAAATGGTAGCTGAACTTTAAGAAACACCTTGGTCTCCTTCACCAATGAAACCAACAATAGCTTACAGATAAATTCTAAGCTTGGCATGAGAAGCTTGTGGCATGGAAGCAAAGTAGTCATGAGTTTAGCATTAAAGAGAGAGAGGGCTGTGAGTTCCTATGAGAAACAGGGGTTTCAAAGTAGAGGAGAACGAATTCTAAGAGGGTTTGTTGAAGAGAGAGATGTGGGGGAATAACAATGGGTGTGTTGAGTAGTTTCCGGCAGATTAACGAAAGCTCTGTCAAGCTCTAGAAGGATTTACCAGAAGAGAAAATGGGAGGAGATGGAGGAATAGGGCTCGCAATTGTAGAGGTTTCAGGGATGAGAGATGAAGCTTGCTCTTTAGATGTGTGTGTTCTTTGATGGGTAGGAGATGGCCCTTTTTATAGCCGCTGGAAGCTCCTCCTTTCCAAGAAACCCTAATGGTTTCTCAACAATTTTGTCAAGTCTCCCCTTTCATTTCTCTTCTGACTCATCCCATTTTGTGAAATCTTTTGTGAAATCTTCCTCTGTCCAAACACACAATGTAACGACCCGGTCCTAAATAAATTGGTAATTATTAATTTATTCAGATAAAAGACCATTTTGCCCTAAGAATATTTTATTATGTTTAAAGTTGACTTTTTCACCAGGAAAGAATTTGGAAATTTTGACTATACTGTTGCGTAGAGCATGGCGAGATGAGTCCGTAGACATGTAGTTGGCTCGAATCAGAGTTGTAACGAAGAAGATACGATCAAAATACCATTAGTGGCACAACCGTAATTTTGACGACAAGGGTTTGTTAAAATCTGATTCTCTCTCTCTCTCTCTCTCTCTCTCTCTCTCTCTCTCTCTCTTCGAAACTCCAACAACCAGCCACGGCTGTGGATGGGACCAGCGCCAAAAGGACCTGCTCAACCCTGCCGTCAAGACCCGGCCCTTCTTCATAATCAAGCTGATGGTTGGGTAGGGTTGCATCCAATTTTGAGCCTAGGTAGCTTGATTTTAGAATTGGATTTCGACCGGATTTAGGATCGCAATTCCAGCCACTTCCGGTCACTTTTTGGGGTAGGTCCAAGAACAAAAGTGGTTCCAAATAGGGTGTTATACCTAGGATAGGAGTCTTGAGCCATGATCTTGAGTTTTTCCGGCGAAGCGCTATTGCTTTGGACACCTACGCGCTGCAGGTGCGTGTGGCAGTGCATGGGCATTGTGTCCCGATGTAATCTCCTGGTCCTCACAAGCGCGTAGGTGTGCTCGGATTTCAATTTGGATGTCGTTTGATAGTCGATTGGATATCGCATATTAGGCGTTATCCGGGTTTGACATGTTCGGACCTTTGGATCAACTCCATTTCAATATATGTTGATCTAGGTATTCCTAGGATCGTATAGGATTCGACGGATTGTAAAACGGAGTCCCGAATACTCCGGAAATGACAACCCTGGGGCTAGGTTTACAGTAACCGTCCGATCTTGCGATCGTGAGCGATCCGACCATCCGATCCAGACCAAACTTGCAAGACGTGTATCCTAAACCTTGTGGAACCCATAGGAACTTTCGGATAGTAAAAGGAGGTCTTGGGCCCCATGGGCCGGTTTGACCAAGTTTAGGTAGTTTGACTCTTGGTTGACCGTGAGTCTTTCGAGGTAGTTTTACCTTCCTAGGAGGATTAAAATGACCCTAGTGACAGGTCTTGAGCGTTGTTGAGTTATGTTGATTATGTGAGATTAGGAGATTAATTTATTGTTTTAAACTAGGGGGATTATCGGATGTATAATGTGGTTGAAGTTCAGGCAATATTGGAAATATATATATATATATATATTTAAATATAAAGATATTTTGGGAATAAGGATTGAGAAATTCGTATATTGTCATAATAGTAACAGTCAATCGAGAATTTGATTTGATTTGACGATGAGCTATATAAAAGGTCAAGTAAATTGTGAGTAAGTCTTGGATGAATTTTTGGGGGAAATCGGAAATGAATATTATGATTTATTATGGGAAGAATATATGATTATTATGTCACACGTGACGTTGAAATTTCTGGTGTGTTACACACCCCATACTTGGCGTTAGATTTTCGGTGTATGGGGAGATTATATGATTTGATGGTCTCACACGTGGCGTTGGATTTTCTGGCGTGTGATACAATAACAGGGAGAAGAAAAAGGAAATTATTTTTACTATATAGGGGAAAGAGTGATGCCTAAAAGAATTATGTTGGTAGGTTGTGATTTAAAGAAAAGGGAAAGGGATAAATTCTAGCATCTATTATTTTGTACTGCTGTAATGAATTGTATGTGGATGGAATAGGAATTTTGTAGAAAGAACTACGTGTGGCTTGATCCCTCACAAGGGGTACGTAGGTAGCCTAGGGTAGTACCTAGGTGCAGCCACGGACTAAACATTACTTATGTAGTTTTATGGAATCTGGTTCTGACCTTGTCGTTGGTCCTGAAATTCGGTTGAAACCGAGGTGCAATTAAATATTAAGAGTTATGTGAATGTAATCTATTGAATCATGTATGTGGTCCCGACCTATTTGAGGTCCATTTCAGAATAAATGTTGTTTTTTTAGTTTGATTACGTGGTATAATGGGCCAAGGCCCCTAGGACTATTGGTGATAATTCATAAATGATAGTTGATGCATGCTAAAATTTGGGAAGTTAATTTATGTTATTTGCAATGGGCATTTTAAAATAAGTTTGAGTTTATTATCTGCATTGTTTAATGCATTATTTTGATTTAAGAACGTTGCTGGCAGTTCTATTTCCAATTATGAGAAGGCTGGAAGTCGATCATATGAATTGCAAGAACATTGCTCAAGACTTCTACCCTAGGTATAACACCCTATTTGGAACCAAGTTTGTTCTTGAACCCCCCAAAAAGTGACTGGAAGTGGCCGGAATCGTTATCCTAAAACCAGCCGAAATCCAATTCAAAAATCAAGCTACCTAAGCTCAAAATTGATGCAATTCTTCCCAACCATCAGCTAGATTATGAAGAATGGATGAATTTCCATATCTTGATCGCCAAAAATGGCGGTCGGAGGAGAGAGATCGGAGCTGGCGAAGTTCCGAGTGAAAACCGGCCTAAAAATCACATTTTTCGGAGGCTCGAGCGGCGGCCGATATCGGGGAAGGGCTGGGTCTTGACAGCAAGGCTGAGTCGGTCCTTTTGGCACTGGTCCCGTCCACAGCCGTGGCCGGTGGCCGGAGTTTCAAAGAGAGAGAGAGAGAGAGAGAGAGGGTTGTCATCGGAGAGAGAGAGAGAGAGAGAGAGAGAGAGAGAGAGAGAGAATCAGATTTTAACAAATCCTTTTCGCCAAAATTACGGTTGTGCCACTGAGGGTATTTTGATCGTATCTTCTTCGTTACAACTCCGATTTGAGCCCACTACGTGTCTACAAACTCATCTCGCCTTGCTCTTTGAAACGGTACAGTCAAAATTTCCAAATTCCTTCCTGGTAAAAAAGTCAATTTTAAACCTAATAAAATATTCTAGGGACAAAATGGTCTTTTATCTAAATAAATTAATAATTGCCAATTTATTTAGGACCGGTTCGTTACACACAAAGACAAGATTTTTGGGAGCTCTAAGGCTTTCCCGCAGCTGTTTTAGTAATGAACTCCCATTTTTGGCTACCTCCTCACCTTATTTCCTTCCCTCTTCCATGGCAAGAGCTGGTGGGGGAAAGAAATGGGTAAGGGCGCAGGTTTGAAGGGTGCCTCTTCTCCTAGCAACCTGCGCATGCTAATACCCCCTAGTTCTTTGAGTGTTCTACCTTGATGTTCGTTTTGCCCATGTGC